TAGGTCCACCTGTACAATTGCTCAGTAACACAAATTGTTAATCAGCCAATCACATGGCAGCAACTCAATGCATTTAGGCATCTAGACGTGGTGAAGACGACTTGCTGAAGTTCAAACAGAGCATCAGAATGGGGAAGAAAGGGGATTTAAGTGACTTTGAACGTGGCATGGTTGTTGGTGTCAGACAGGCTGGTCTGAATATTTAAAAAACTGCTGATATATTGGGATTTTCCCGCACAGCCATCTCTAGGGATTACAGAGAAGAGTCCAAAAAAGAGAAAATATCCAGTGAGGGGCAGTTGTGTGGAGGAAAATGCTTTGTTGTTTTTGTCAGAGGTCAGAGGAGAATGGGCAGACTGGATCCAGATGATAGAACGTCAACAATAACTCCAATAACCACTCGTTACAACCAAGATATGTAGAATACCATCTCTGAAGGTACAACGCGTCCAACCTTGAAGTAGATGGGCTACAGCTGCAGAAGACCACACCGGGGGTACCACTCCTGTCAGCTAAGAACAGGAAACGGAGGCTACAATTCACACAGGATCAGCAACATTGGACAATAGAAGATTGGAAGAATGTTTCCTGGTCTGATGAGTCTGGATTTTGGGGCGACATTCAGATGATAGGGTCAGAATTTGGCATGAACATGAAAGCATGCATCCATCCTGCCTTGTATCAATGGTTCAGGCTGGTGGTGGTGGTGTCATGGTGTGGGAGATCCATCCTGCCTTGTATCAATGGTTCAGGCTGGTGGTGGTGGTGTCATGGTGTGGGAGATCCATCCTGCCTTGTATTAATGGTTCAGGCTGGTGGTGGTGGTGTCATGGTGTGGTGGATCCATCCTGCCTTGTATCAATGGTTCAGGCTGGTGCTGGTGGTGTCATGGTGCGGGGGATCCATCCTGCCTTGTATCAATGATCCAGGGCTGGTGGGGGTGGTGTCATGGTGTGGTGGATCCATCCTGCCTTGTATCAACAGTTCAGGCTGGTGGTGGTGGTGTTATGGTGTGGTGGATCCATCTTGCCTTGTATCAATGGTTCAGGCTGGTGATGGTGGGGTGTCATGGTGTGGTGGATTCATCTTGCCTTGTATCAACAGTTCATGGATGTGCAGCCGACAAATCTGCAGCAACTGCGTGATGCCATCATATCAACATGGAGCAAAATCTCTGAGGAACGTTTCCAACACCTTGTTGGATCTATGCCACGAAGACTGAAGGCAAAAGGGGGTCCAACCCAGTACTATGAAGGTGGACCTAATAATGTAGCTGATGAGTGTATATTATGTACATTCACATCATTCTCCACCCTCAAGGGGCGTACAATCTAAGGTCCCTAACTCACATTTATACATACACATACTAGGGCCAATTAGCATGTCTTTGGAGTGTGGGAGGAAACCCACGCAGGCACAGAGAGATCATGCAAACTCCATGCAGGCAGTGCCATGGTTGGAATTTGAACCAATGACCCTTGTGCTACTAGGTGGATGTGCTAACCACTTAGCCACCGCGCTGCTACCAATATCGTACAATTTAAAGGGAAACCACAATTTTTAGCTGATGTTCCTTACAGATTTAACATCTGCAAACTTCAAAAACTTCAAACTTCAAAAATCTGCAAACTTTTTTTTTTAGATATAAAAATCATAAAGAATCTTCCAAAATGGCGGCATGTCTTACCAAAGTGCAGTTCTCTGTACACATTTCAAACATCAGCAGACAGCCTGAGCCCAATCAAATTGGTGAAGTTCAGGCCTTTTATTATGAATCGAGATTCATTGCTGATTCCATTCGATATTACAGTCACTATGTCAGTGGTCAGGTTATCAGTTGGGCACCTGGAGATAGAAAAATAAAAATATTTCAGTTTTCTTTATTGCAAAGCCTGGACTAAAAATATTATTCCGGCAAAATCATAACCATTTGAGCCCAGGAAGATTTTACCCCCTTCACGACCAGGCCATTTTTTGCTATTTATTTGTGCTGCTTTAACTGGTAATTGCGCAGTCATGCAACGCTGTACCCAAACAAAATGTATATTTTTTTTACACAATAGAGCATTCTTTTGGTGGCATGTGATCACCACTGGGGGTTTTTTATTTTTTGAGATATAGATAAAAAAAGACCCAAAAATTGTTGTGTGGGTTGTGTTGCAGCCAGTGGCACAGGGAACTTCTCACGAGTAGAAGGAAAAATGGATTCAATAAAATTTCAGCAAACTTTGGATGGTAACTTGATGCCATCTGGGAAAAAAGCTGAAGTTAAAGAGAGGATGGCTTCTACAAATGGATAATGATCCTAAAACAGACCTCGAAATCCATGGGAGATTACATCAAGAGGCGTAAACTGAAGGTTTTGCCATGGCCTTCACAATCTCCTGACCTCAACATAATTGAAAATCTATGGATAGACTTTAAAAGAGCCGTGCGTGACAGACAGCCCAGAAATCTCAAAGAACTGGAAGACTTTTGTAAGGAAGAATGGGCAAAGATACCTCAAACAAGAATTGAAAGACTCTTGGCTGGCTACAAAAAGCGTTTACAAGCCGTGATACTTGCCAAAGGGGGCAGTACAAGATATTAACTCTGCAGGGGGCCCAAACTTTTGCAGACGCCATTTTTTTTTTGTTTTCTGTTATTTTGAAAGTGTAAATGATGGAAATAAAATCTAACTTTTGTTGACATATTATAAGAATGTCTAATCTGTAATTTGATGCTTTTTGGAGATTTTTCCATCTTTCCTTGGCTTCTTTATGCACATTAATACAAATTTTTAGCTGGGGTGCCCAAACTTTCCATCCCCACTGTATATATGAATTTGTATTTATTTATTTATTTATTGATACTAGTAATGGTGACAATCAGGGACTTATAGTGGAACTGTGATAGTGCGGAAGGCAAGCTGACACTAACTGATGCTGGGGGGGGGGACTGACTAAATGACAGTGACATCTCCAGTGACACTAACACAGTGATCAGTGCTAATACTATACACTGTCACTGTACTAATGACACTGGCTGGGAAAGAGAATTAGAGAAGACCTAAAATTAAGGAAAAAAAACACAATATTTTTTACTTTATGCTATAAAACGTATCCAATAATAAATAGGCCCAGACGCCCGGAGGCCGAACATTTGTTTTAGGCCGGCGCCAAGAGGTTAATCTACATTTTTAGAATGCATTTTCTAATATATGTAAAAATACATGTTAAAATTACTTTTTTATATGTTAAAAAATAAATTTGAAGAATATATTTTAAAAAAATATATATTTTTATTTCCATAAAAGTTTATTTAGAAGTGACAACATGTTACAGGAAAATATAAAGAAATACACACACAGCATCAATCAGGCCATAGACACAGCTTAAACCAAAATACAAGACGAAACAACATGGTAGAGTGCGACACTGTGAAAAACATAAGCATGTCAAGGTACGGCAGAGATAGGCCTGTAGTACTCAAGTTACACAAATGTACAATATAGAAGGTAATCACAGCTTACTTCCAACAATTGAGTATTGGCGTACTGGCCTATGCATGGAGGAAATGAAGCTTCGGAGTCTAAACCAAAAGCAGTACGCTATCATAAGGCTAATTGAGCATCGCAGTATAAGAGAAGATGTCGTGAGTACCATTGACTACCCTAGAGGAGATAAGCTAACCATATACCAAGTATTCCTGAATGAGACGAAGACTAAGCCTGATCGAAGACTGAGAGCTTGTCGAGAAAGAAAAAAAGAAAAAAAAAGAATAGAAAGAAAAGGACAAGAAAAGGAAAAGAATGGGAGTCATAGTAGAGAGAGAAAAAATATATATTTTTTAAATATATGCCTTTAGGAAATATATTTAACCCCTCGCCTACCGGGCACTTCTACCCCTTCCTGCCTACAGGGCACTTCTACCCCCTCCCTGCCTACCGGGCACTTCTACCCCCTCCCTGCCTACCGGGCACTTCTACCCCCTTCCTGCCTACCGGGCACTTCTACCCCCTTCCTGCCTACCGGGCACTTCTACCCTCTTTCTGCCCACCGGGCACTTCTACCCCCTTCCTGCCTACAGGGCACTTCTACCCCCTTCCTGCCTACAGGGCACTTCTACCCCCTTCCTGCCTACCGGGCACTTATACCCCCTCCTGCCTACCGGACACTTCTACCCCCTTCCTGTCTACAGGGCACTTCTACCCCCTTCCTGCCTACAGGGCACTTCTACCCCCTTCCTGCCTACAGGACACTTCTACCCCCTTCCTGCCTACAGGGCACTTCTACCCCCTTCCTGCCTACCGGACACTTCTACCCCCCTTCCTGCCTACCAGGCACTTCTACCCCCTTCCTGCCTACCGGGCACTTCTACCCCCTTCCTGCCTACCGGGCACTTCTACCCCCTTCCTGTCCAGGCCAATTTCCAGCTTTTAGCGCTGTCACATTTTGAATGACAATTGCGCGGTCATGCAACACTGTACCCATATGAAATTGTTATCATTTTTTGAGACAGATAAAGCTTTCTTTTGGTGGTATTTAATCACCTCGGGGTTTTTATTTTTTTCTTAAAACAAACCAAAAACCACTGAAAATTTTGAAAAAAAAAAATGTTTCTTAGTTTTTGTTATACAATTTTGTAAATAAGTGATTTTTCTCCTTCACTGATGTGCGCTAATGAGGCTGCAGTGATGGGCACTGATAGGCTGCACAGATGGACGCTGATAGGTGGAACTGATGGGCACTGATGAGGAGGCACTGGTAGGTGGCACTGATGGGCATTGACAGGCATCACTGATGGGCACTGAAAGGCAGCACTGATACATGACACTGATACACGACACTGATATATGGCACTGATAGGCGGCACTGATAGGCAGTACTGACTTGCACTGATAGGCAGCACTGACTGGCACTGATAGGTGGCACTGGCTGGCACTGTTAGGCAGCACTGACTGGCACTGATAGGCGGCACTGACTGGCAGTGATGTGCACTGATAGGCGACACTGACTGGCACTGATAGGTGGCACTGATTGGCAGCACTGATAGGCGGCACTGACTGGCACTGATAGGCAGCACTGACTGGCACTGATAGGCAGCACTGACTGGCACTGATGCTCACTGATAGGCGACACTGACTGGCACTGATAGGTGGTACTGATTGGCAGCACTGATAGGTGGCACTGATTGGCATTGATAGGTGGCACTGACTGGCACTGATGGGTGACATTCAAAGGCAGCTCAGATGGGCACTGATATGTGGCATTGATGTGGCACTGATGGGCACTGGTATGTGGCACTGATGGGCACTGGCATGTGGCACTGATGGGCATTGACAGGTGGCACTTCGGGGGCTATACTGATCATCAGTGCCCTGATGATCAGTGTACATGTCCCCCTCCGCGGAAAGCCGATTACCAGCTCTCCTCTCCTCTGTCAGCGTGACAGCTCGAGAGGAGAGAAATGCCGATAACTGGCATTTCCGTGTTTACATGTGATCAGCTGTGATTGGACACAGCTGATCACATGACCGAGCCGACATCTTCGGCTCTTTCCGTGATCCGCTGTGTCCCTCTCCCTGAGCCGCGCATGCTCAGTGAGAATGGTAGGACGTCATATGAGGTCCTATCAGAACGAGAGAACCACCTTGCGCCTGTCATTGTACTATAGGGTGGGCGGAAGGTGGTTAAATTTTATTTTTTTTTTAAAAAAAATACATGTTAAAATATATTAGCACAGGCCAATGTATTGTAAATATAGGTCACATGCTGTATATCATTTTTTTTCTAAATATATTTGTGTACTTACCCATCCATTAGCAGATACTGTGGGCTGTCCGACTCTCCGGAGGAGATATACATCCTCACCACTTTGGTTTTAAATATATTGCCATCCAGGTACGGAAGAGCCACCAAAATATATACGGTGCCGTCCAGATATATCGGGTCATTCTCTGGCAGTAAGGTCAAAAATTCAACATCGCTATAAGCTGCCATGTGTACAGTGTAGTAAACACCTGTTCCAGAGAGTCCTATCAATGCGGATCTAAAAAAGAGAAAAAAAAGCACAATATAAACTGAAATCTTAGTAACTATGAGCGCATTCATGGATACAGCATGAACACACAGTATACAGAACTTTTAGGTGAACCTTTCAAACGAAAGTATTTCCATATTTTAAACAAGCGGTTAAAACATTTTAAAACAGGCCCACAGTCCCCTCTGTAGCTACAGGCATTGTGGAGAAATGAATCTAACGCACAACAAGAGGAATGAGCTCCCAGCTTCCGTTTCCCTATTCCCAACGGCAGCAGGATCTTGGCAGGCTGCCGTCCCTCTAATGAACACAAGCAGGGGGGTGCCGGAACCCGACAGAGTCTCCATTATCATCTTTAACCCCTTCCAGTCCGGACACTTTCCCCCCCTTCCAGTCCAGACACTTCCCCCCCTTCCAGTCTGGACGCTTCCCCCCCCCCCCCCCCCCTACCAGTCCGGATGCTTTCCCCCCCCTTCCAGTCCGGACGCTTTCCCCCCCCTTCCAGTCCGACGCTTTCCCCCCCCTTCCAGTCCGGACGCTTCCCCCCCGCCTTCCAGTCCGGACGCTTTCCCCCTCCCTTCCAGTCCAGACACTTCCCCCCCCCTTCCAGTCCAGACACTTTCACCCCCTTCCAGTCCAGACACTTTCACCCCTTCCAGTCCGGACGCTTTCCCCCCCCTTCCAGTCCGGACGCTTTCCCCCCCCCCTTCCAGTCCGGACACTTTCCCCCCCCTTCCAGTCCGGACACTTTCTCCCCCTTCCAGTCCGGACACTTTCCCCCCCTTCCAGCCCGGACACACTTCCCCCCCTTCCAGTCCGGACACTTTCCCCCCCTTCCAGTCCGGACACTTTCCCCCCTTCCAGTCTGGACACTTTCACCCCCTTCCTGTCCAGACACTTTCCCCCCCTTCCAGTCCAGACACTTTCACCCCCTTCCAGTCCAGACACTTTCACCCCCTTCCAGTCCGGACACTTTCACCCCCTTCCAGTCCGGACACTTTCCCCCCTTCCTGTCCAGACACTTCCCCCCCCTTCCAGTCCGGACACTTTCCCCCCTTCCTGTCCAGACACTTTCCCCCCCTTCCTGTCCAGACACTTTCCCCCCCCTTCCAGTCCAGACACTTTCTCCCCCTTCCAGTCCGGACACTTTCCCCCCCTTCCAGTCCAGACACTTTCACCCCCTTCCAGTCCAGACACTTTCTCCCCCTTCCAGTCCGGACACTTTCCCCCCCTTCCAGTCCGGACACTTTCCCCCCCTTCCAGTCCGGACACTTTCACCCCCTTCCAGTCCGGACACTTTCATTCACCCCCTTCCAGTCCGGACACTTTCACCCCCTTCCAGTCCGGACACTTTCACCCCCTTCCAGTCCGGACACTTTCACCCCCTTCCAGTCCAGACACTTTCTCCCCCTTCCAGTCCGGACACTTTCCCCCCCTTCCAGTCCAGACACTTTCTCCCCCTTCCAGTCCGGACACTTTCCCCCCCCTTCCAGTCCGGACACTTTCCCCCCCTTCCAGTCCGGACACTTTCCCCCCCTTCCAGTCCGGACACTTTCCCCCCCTTCCAGTCCGGACACTTTCACCCCCTTCCAGTCCGGACACTTTCACCCCCTTCCAGTCCGCACACTTTCACCCCCTTCCAGTCCGGACACTTTCCCCCCCTTCCTGTCCAGGCCAATTTTCAGCTTTCAGCACTATCACACTTTGAATGACAATTGCGCGGTCATGCAACACTGTACCCATATGAATTTTTTTGCAACTTTTTTTGAGACAGATAAATCTTTATTTTGGCGGTATTTATTCACCGCTGGGATTATTATTTTTTTTGCTATATAAATGAAAAAGTCCAAACATTTTGAAAAGTGTTTCTCTTATAGAATTTTGCAAATAAATAATCTTTCTTCATAAATCTTGGCCAAAATGTATTCAGTTATCTTTTTAGTAAAAAAAAAAATTAACCCCAATTAGTTTATAAGCAAAATTATAATTTAAAAAAAAAAATTATGTTTACATTTTTAATGTTTACATTTTTATTTTATTTTTTTATATTATTATTTATGTTTTTTTAACATAGTGTCACCCTGGCAGTACAGTGTCACTACTTGTGGGGGGTGATGAAGATTTTTTTTTTTTTTATACTGATTGCTTTTACACCCATAAAGGCTGTAAAAGCAATCATTTCTCCTTCTTTCTGGCTGCATTCTTGCAGCCATTGAGAAATACTGTGTGAGCTGTGATTGGTCACAGCTTGTCACATGGTACAAGGCTGTTGTGAATAGCCCTGTACCATGTGATCTCTGTGATCATTCACAGATTACACACATAGTAAGCAATGATGTCAGGAAGTGAAATCTTGTGTACTACTATTCATGTGATCACTGATTGGCCAATCAGTGATCACATAATTGGGACCTCACACAAAGGACCCGTACAGCGATCGGTGTTCTGCTATGTCCTCCCAGGGAGCTTGCACAGGCAGTGAATGCAGGGGGATGTTTATAAACAGCCACCCGCTCCTGCACTGCTCCCGTCCGGCTGTTTATGTACATGGGCCGGACGGGAAGTGGTTAAATATGAACTACTTCACTGAACACGCAGCTACAGAGGTAAGTGATAGTATGCAGAAATAGACATACAGGGGATTGGTTTCTATAATTTACCAGCCCCTTCCTTTCCTGAATGAACACAATGAGTGATCGGTACCGAACTGTGTTCATTCATAACTGTCAATGTGACCATTTAGTCAATGTGCTGCCCAGAATATGAAAATTTTTTATTGTCCATAGTCTGAAAACAGGCGTGGCCTGAATATTTATGGGACTCCAGCCAATCACTGGGGCGGCGTGCCTGGCAAGTTGTCGGAGAGCCCTTAAAGAGTCTAAAGCCTGGGCAGCGAGATCAGAGTTCCTGGATCCAGTCCTGCTAGAGGAGACCCCTGTGTAGGAAGGGCCCCTGGGGCAGATTTCTAGAAAGAGCCATCAGGAAGACACTAAGGTCCCAGACAGAATTCATTTTCTAATTTGTATAATTTGTGCCGTTATGATGTTGCACTCCCCTGGGCACTCCCCTGGGCAGGGATGTATTTAGGTTTTGTGCTTCCCTAGGCAATACGAAAATCGACTTCCCACCCCAATCATGGAGAGACCCTGACACCCCCCTCCCCCATAAAGAGAGCCTGACATTGACAACAACCCCCCCCCCCCCACCTCCACCTCCCCCCTATACACTGACAATGCCCCACCCCGGCAAGAGAGAAGACACTCACCTTCACAGCTCCGGACATCCCCAGGAACAAGAGTCGGGCTCTACATACACCATCAAGCAGCCCGCAGCCTCTCTTAGATACCACCTGGTCCCCATGCTGTGTGTGTCCCTTCTTCCATCAGTTCTTTCAGGGGGGCAGCGCTGCTCCCCTAAAAAAATGCCACCCTAGGCAAGTGCCTTGTTTGCCTTGTGGTAAATACGCCCCTGCTCCTGGGTAGGCGCTGGGATTTGTAGAGTTCGGACAGTATAGCTGTGTCTCTCTGCTTACCAGAGAGGCTGAGATGGATTAGTAAGGCCTGCTCATGATGTTCTGGTGCTGTGTGAGTTTGTCTTGAGCCCCCCCCCCCCTATTGAAAGCAACGAGAGCCTTCCAGAACCTGGGTGGGAGCTAGGCAAATGAGCAGCATGAACATGGATGCAGCCCTGACCAATTGCAGGGGAAGTTGGCTCCATTGCATGCTGGGAGTGGTATTTACATTCTGGGAGCACATGGTGTGCAGGAGGGTCTTTCCCTAGAGAGGATTGCACCAAGTCAGGATGGAGGCAGGCTTGCCTCACCTGGCACTTGCTGCCATGCGGGCCCCAGTTGGGCGACCTGAGGGCCTGAAGCTAGAAAGAGTGACCCTGGTTCTTCAGTAGGCTGACTGAGGGGAGTCATCTGTCTGGTATCTGTCAGGAAACCTGTGCAGCTAATGCTGATTCTTCTGCAGCTAATGCTCCTGTACATGTACCAGCACACAGACAAGCCCAGGCTAATATCCAACATGCACTGGCATGTAGGGGCATTTCTATGCACCATCACGCATCGGCACGCATGTCTTCCCGCATTGGTGCCAAGCTGCCTATTTAAAGGAGACTCTACTGTGTACTAATCGCTGGATGTTCTTCAGCTTCCTGTGACCCGTGTTCCTGTTTGTACTGAATGATCTTTCACTGCTGACCTGGCTTGCTCCTCACCTTTCTTTGTGGATTGTGGATTCTGACCTCAGCTTCCCTTAGACTACCCTTTGCCTGATCTCCTGGTGCTGACCTCGGCTTGGCTCTGACTATTCTCTGCCTGATCTCCTGGTGCTGACCTCGGCTTGGCTCTGACTATTCTCTGCCTGATCTCCTGGTGCCGACCTCGGCTTGCCTCTGACTATTCTCTGCCTGATCTCCTGGTGCTGACCTTGGCTTGCCTCTGACTACTCTCTGCCTGATCTCCTGGTGCTGACCTTGGCTTGCCTCTGACTACTCTCTGCCTGATCTCCTG